GTCACTGGAGGGCTTGGTGCGGTGACAAATCAAGATGAAGGCACGATCACAGGCCCTCCTGCTGGGTCTCGGCAGGCCAGGGGCCGGCTCTGCCCATTTAGCACATGACTTGGGCAGTGCTCTTATCTGAGTGTCTGCTTTCTCACCTTTAAAGGAGGACGCTGAACTGAGGTTTCCAGTCACCCTGCGACTCCCACGAGCCTCTCATTCCTGCTGACAAGTGACAGTTACTGTCAGCACTGTGGGCGCCTCACACAATTTACAGCTGAGACACACACAGCCTAACAAATGCTGGTGGGATGGAAATGCGCTGTCGAGCTAATGGACCCTGGGATGGGGATTCTAGTCCTTGCCTTCTGTCTGTGACCAACTCCCTCAGCCTTTCCACATGAGTCAGAAGACTCCGCCACACTGCTGCAGGAAGGCAGCCGCGTCTGCGGTCTCCGGGGACACTGCTTTTAGTATTCTGTGATGAGATAAGCTTTACCTTGCCTGTAAAACAACTTCTTAATCGTTTCCCCCAATTGCACTTTTTATCTTGCCTACAAGGAAGCTCGAAGCCACAGCGAGGCTTAACCGCAGCACCTTGGCCAAACCTGCCACAGGGTGTCTTCACCTCCACATACTCTCAGTTCTCTGTGTGTGCTTTAAACTGCTGCACTGGACCTGAATGTTCATCTGACCAGTAGTCTGGGTCACGTGTCTGCACCTCAGGTTCATTTTAGAACTAAATTCTCTTGTCCCTACTTATGCAAGCATTGCATGCCTTAAGGGGGCAGAGAGAGGAGGAAAGGTAAAAAACCAGTCAGACGTCATCAGGGAACTAAGCATGGAGGTGGGGAGTGCTGCAAGGAAGGCTTGAAGGATGTGCAGGGTTTGTTAGCGGAGGGAGGGAGGGAGGGAGGTGCCTCAGCAGTCCAAGCAGCATGGGCACAGGCACGGGCACAGGCACGGGCACAGGTATGGGCACAGGTACGGGCACAGACATGGGCACAGACACAGACATGGGCACAGACACAGACGAAGGCACAGGTACAGGCACAGACATAGGCACAGACACGGGCACAGACACAGACACAGGCACGGGCACAGGCACAGGCACAGACACAGACACGGGCACAGACACGGGCACAGGCACGGGCACAGACACAGACACAGGCACGGACACAGACACAGACATGGGCACAGATACAGACACGGGCACGGGCACAGGCACAGGCACAGACACAGACACAGACATGGGCACAG